CATTTCACCGTGTGTGAGTGCGAACACATGCACACCCACGCACATACAGCAATAGAGAGCAAGTTGAGGACACAAAGCGGCTCTGCTCACACCCTTGTACAGTGTTAGCAAATAGAGCAGAGTGACACAGACCAAATGGCACCTGTTCAGCACCTACTGTATTTCCATTATCAGAGCACAGCACATGAGAACACAGTCGCACTAGACCAACACAGGCCTGCTTCTTCATCTCATGAGGCTCATTTCCTATTCTAATTTCCAGCTTTCCTTAGGTGTAGTTTTAGAATTAAAAAGGTAAATGTAGGTTTTCTTTATTTTTTTATTGGTCACAAAATCTTTCAAGATCAATGCCATAAAAAAACTTTTAATGCATGTGTTTCATTTAATATGAGAAGTTTAACGAAATGTAAACATAGAGTTATATGTGGTTATCTTAATACAAATTGTGATAAAGTTTTGAAAAAGCTATTTCCACAGCAGGAATTTAGTCTATGTGAATTCATTTTCATGTTATGCTTTTTCTCATGCAAATTAAAAAAAAGAAAATGCAACTGCCTATTGGATACACAGAAATAATTTGAATAGTGATTTGAACTGTTAATAGGAGCATATGATTCTATGTCCAGTTGGGTGATTACAACTGTACTGTATGTGGTAACAGCAACAAACTGACTTCAGTGTACACTGTATGTATCATCATTTTTTCAAACTCTTTTCCACATAAGGTATCTGTGTCATTTCATTCATACATTCCCTATGCATTTCTTCTGCACCTCTGAGGATTAAAACCCAATTTTTTCTTACTTTAGTAGGATTTCAAAATGGTAAGCTATTTGAATATGCTGGTGAGAAAAACTGTAGCTCTCTAACAATTATACAGTATAATTTTATGTAATTTCTGTGACTGATGATACTGATATGTTGTACTGTATATCATATTATATTTTGTCCCTAGTTTATGTTTTAGTGCAAATTTGATCCAAAATGTTTGCCTGTTTCTTTCATGTAATGTGCTGCTTTTATACTTAAAATCACTGAGTTATGAGTGGGCACAGCAAGTAATTCAACAAATACAACATCACACAAAAGGAATAGGATATTGGCAAGACAAACCTACAGTAAATAATCAAAAGGATTTATATTCTCCAGTTCAATTTTTCAGATGCATGGTGTATGATGTAGAAATAAAAGAATAGTTATCAATCAGTGTATGTGAAATAATAAGCGATCCCTTTGTAGCGCCAAGGCTTATTAAAATACAGGAATTAAGTTTGCTTCTCCCTTGTCAGTCTCTCTGTCTCTCATCTCAGTGGTGCTTGATACAGGGAGGCCATTCCATTTGGTTCACAATTAAGGTGTTTTTCTAGCTGATAGAGTGTCCTGATAAGGAACAACTCCCAAAGCTGAGGTTCTCCAGCAACCCTAATAAATGGTAATCTCTGGCACCTTACTGTCTGGCAGATTGCAAGAGAGAGTCATCCAAAGATGTTTACAACCCTAAGGTCAGAGTGCATTGTTACTCATCATCAGCCAATCAGGAACTAGTAGGGCAGGTTAACCCCAAGTGGGTCTCAGATACCCATGGAACTTTCAACCAATGAACGACCATAGTTCCTCCAGGTAAAACAGGCAGCACAGGGCTTCCTCAAGGCGCCTCCTGGACATCCTCAGACTCAGCTCGGACAACCATGTAACGGCCAGTGTGTCCGGGTGCAGGACTTAACTTTTGTTCTAAGAGTCGAGAACGGAGGTCACCGGCGCGTAGCCAAAGGATCCACCTGAGGTTAGCCCAGCAGCAAGCCTCGTGAACCCACCGCGAAAGCTCACCTGATCAACAAGTGAACTACTGTTGGAGCTGTGGACAGCTGAATCTGAGTATTCAGAACTAGCGCTACATCAGGAACGAACCGGTTTTCTTCCTGTCTAAAGAGTGTGAACCGCAGTCACTTTTCTCCTGTGCACAAACTCGCTAGTAAAGCCAGAACTAACTAATCAGTCTTCAGAGAGCATTAGCAGCGCGTCGCAGCCGAAATCTCTCCCACTACTCTCCAGCCGCACCGGCCACTGCTTGGCACCGAGCCAGAGAGCGCCGATTGGACACAGCAACAAGCCTGCCGCTGCTGCTTTGTGTCGCAGGAGATCTGAATCCACACAGATTGGATGAGTATTCAACATTCTGCATTATAGCTCGAGAATTCAATTATTACCTCAACCTGAGTTGATGTCAATTTAATTCCTAAGAGTGATGTGCTTGCTTTTGAGTATCTAGTATGGAAGTTGTAATCCAAGATCATTTACGAAACGGTCTAAATGAATGGTATACTGAACGTACGTCCTTCTTGGTTTGTAACTCTTCATGACTGAATACATACCTTTTGTATTCTGCTAACCCTCACGATAAGATCTGTTATGTTTATATGCACCTTTTATGCATTAATAAATGTACTCTCGTGCATTAGTATCCGTGTGTGTGCGTTGTTGGAGTTATCCCGCAAGGTTGATTCTAACAGCCATCAAAGAATCATTTTGTGACTTACTGCTACAATTAATAATTGTCCCAGTAAATGTACAAACCCCTACATTTACTGGTGCCTCGTGAGCGGATGCCTTCACCTTTAATACAATGAAAGGTATAATTAAAATCAGCTCATTCATTAAATGAGTAACAAAGAAGGACTGATTTTGATCTCTCTGTCCTATATAATGGTCATTATATTCGTGACTTTGATGTGCACCATACAAGTTATTGGAAACACATCATGCGACAATCAAAAGATCTCAGAAACAAAGCAAGCTCATCAGTTTGCAGAGGATTACAAAACCAAGCATTTCTAAAACTTTTAGGGCTTCATCTATCTGCTGCTAATATCATGTTCAAGCCTCACCCATCAAGAAAAGACTGAACAGGAATGGTTTTAATGGGAGGATAGCCAGGAAGAAATGACTGCTCTCTAAAAAGATCATCATCGCCCATGGTGTTCATGAAAGAGCACTTGGATAATCCACATGCTCTTCTAAGCAGAATGGCTCAAAGTTGAAGTTTTTCAACACGATGAGAAATATTCTGTGAAGAGGAAACCAAGCACTGTTTTTCAATAGAAGAACCTTTTTCCAACCATCAAGCATTGTGGTGGGGTATCATGACATGGGGCTGCTTTGCTGTTTCATGACCTGAATGGCTTAACATCATTGGAAATTGCATGAATTCAAAGTTGTCAGGAAGTTCTGTTGAAGAATGTCGAACCATCCATTCATCAGCTGATGCTAAACCAAAAGTATGTAATGGAGCAAGACAATAATTCTCAACATAAAAGTAGATCTACAACAGATGAAGAAGAAATTTAACATTATGGAATGTGGAAATAAACCTTATTGAAATGTTATGGCTCAATCTGAAAGTGAGCTTTTAATGCAAGCAAAAACTCAAATGTAACCAACTTGAAGCAGTTCTGTGAGGAAGAATTGGCCAAAATCTTAAAAGCAAACATGAGAGACAGATAAACAGTGGCTGCAAACATCTAGCTGAAGTCATTGATACTCAAGGAGGTGAAACTAGTCACTAAATCTATGGGTTCACATACTTATTCACAGGATGATATTGGTTGTTTGATCATTCTGTTAATAATAAACACAGCCAAGCCTAACCAAATTATTTAGATAATCTTCAATACAGAGGCTGTCAATGGAAAGTGGTGAAAAAGATGAGTGCCTTTCTTCTAAACAGATTGCTATTTGGCCACAGAGACAGTACAAGCCCACTCCCTGTTTGTTTTTCGTCTGTTTATAGGTAAAAATAAACCATGCTGCTGACTCTCTCTACTGGTAGATCATGTGGAGGTACAACAGTGAAGAGTAACAGTTTTAGTGGTTTTCATATGAAAAAATCCAAAATTGTGCTTTGTACTGTACGTGCATGTACTTAATGATCTACCAATCAGAGAGTAGCCTTTATTAAAATTGCAATTGATAGAGAATTGTCTTACAATATCTTTTCTTGAAGTGGCAAACAATATCTCTCTTATTACTTGTATAGGCAACTCATTTTTTTCCCCATGATCTCTCTCAAGGATCAGACTCAGTGAAAATGTAATTCTTTAGATCTCATGCAAATATGTATTTTTCACAAAACAACTATGGAGCTCTCTACCTGATTATGTCCTAGACACTGTTACCATGAGAACATCTGTATAAATAAATATCAGTTGTTCTTAGTTTACTTTGGTGGGAGAAGCTGGGTACCTACTCAGTTTATGTTCAAGAAGATTACATATTATGTTTTAATTGATTTATTAGTGATGTTGATGTCAGAATCTGGTAAAGTGCATTAGCAAAATTAGTAAAGCATATACCCACCAACCACTTACTAACAAAAAAATGCAGGACACTAATAATTGTGACCAATAAGGTCTTGAGAAAGTAAAATGCTTTTACAAGGAAAAGATAAATAAGTCTCAATAAGTCCTTAAAACAAGAAATGCTTTTTATAGACACAATACCTCACATTCAGTTTGTTCATTTCATTAATAATTTAATGACAAATGCCAAATATTTCTGGAAGCCAAACAAAGAAATGAAAGGAAACACATACAGTGACTCCAGAGTTTCTCCTCTATCCAACTCACTGACTTTCAATTATCTACTCAGGAGATGAGGGAAAAGTTCTGTTTACTTATTATTTTGCTTATTGAAAGAAAGAGAGCACTGTGGTTGGCATAGTCATTCAAATTGGAAAACTGCGACACTACTAGCAAAGCAATGTAGTTAAATCAGGTGAGAAATAAAACTCAGAGTGTATGCTGTTCTGTCTCAAGTAGAATCTTAAACCACAGCTGCATTCCAAAACAACCAAATATCGATTATTCCACGGCAGGCTGAATCTCAAGAATATTCTATAAGTAGATAAGATGAGATAGCAACACACAACAAACCCTGGTCACTATCAAAGCACTGAAAACCCCAGGCAAGCACTACTCTGAGTTTGAGGAATTGGATTGACTTACCCACTGAGAACCACGATGAAGTCCATCACATTCCAGCCATTCCGCAGATAGGAGCCTTTGTGGAACACAAACCCTAAGGCCACGATTTTAATTCCAGCTTCAAAGCAAAAGATTCCAATAAAGTAGGGCTCAGTTTTTTCCTGGAGAATGGAATGAGACAATTATGTACAATTAATCACCAGCAGGTGGTAAAAACATCTACAGAAGGCATCAAAGTGTCAATGGAAATCAAAGTCACAGTGGCACCTCATTAATCCTTGTCATTTCAATGACCAGAAGAAGAAAGGAAGCCAAACAGCCCTGGAAAAAAGAATCCAGTTGTATCAGGAAAGAACGGTAAAGGGTGAGTTCAGAGCCATTGGAAACTGAACAGATGTTTACACAACTTTTATCAGTGTGTAGGAAAAACAATAGGCTGTAAATAATCAGAATTCTGTACATGCACTGCATAGAGTTGATGGATTTTATGTCAATGTGGACTATTCCTTAATGCAATGGAAAATAATAGTGTACACTGAATATTTCAGAAGGACCTAATGCTAACCACAACTTGTACTTGCCATGTGGGCATATCAGTATGTCTATATAGCTTACTGCATTTCATAAAGCACATATTTTTTCTGAAAGACAGTGCAAGCTACAGTATGTACTGCTCCTAATCGCATTCATTACGATTCTAGAAATTAACCCTCCTCATTTGATAAGAAATTTGCCTTGTATTGTTAACAAAAAAAGCATTTTTTTTCTTTTCTCACTATGTATTTTTAGGTTGACATATTCAATGTATACAGTATAAACCTTTTTAAAGTCACAAAATGCTACTAAAGTACGATTATAATATGCCAAATCCATGCATATCTTTTGTATCAACACTGTTAGATTCCTAGATCCGTCACTTTTAGTGTATTTAACACAATTTCTTAGATAAACAAGACTGACACTTTCAAGCTGGACTGTACAATATGTAAAGCAAATACCAGTTAACTAATTTTGAAATCTAAATAACTGAATGATGTAAATGATTTATCATTTTATCCATACATGTTTACAGTGGATAAGGTGATGTAAAATTTATAGATCAAATAAGGCCTTTTATTTACCCTGCAGAACAAATAGTGGAAAAACGTTACTTGGAAGAATTGGAAACTATTTGATATAGACATTGACATTTGACTCATTTCATTTGTATTTATTCTGCTGTATCATTCAGGAGGGCCTACAATTAAAATGCATATGGGACACATACAAATGCACTGTAGCAGTTCAGAATATTATCAGAGTATGGTACAGCCTTCCTAATCAAATCTGCAAATCTGTACACGTCTACTGTAAGTATCATGGCAAATTGACCTTAAACACTATACTTTCATAAGAACCCCCAGTCAAACCAATTACACACTAAATGAAACCAATTTCATTCTTCTATTGCAAGATGACCTAGTGAATACCCATGGGAATCAGAATACGTGTGACTTATATTTACCAGAAAAAAAATGTGACTGGAAACAAGCATTAATGATGGAAATCTGGAGAAAACGCAGACCATGAGACATTCGTTTTCATTCAATTTGTAAACAGGATTTCCTTTTCTTACTGATTATTTAATCATACCTTTCTATGCAACAATAAACAGCAAAAGAAGTCAAGGATGCTTATTTGAAGAGACTGAAGTGGCGAGCTACATCAGAGTGCACTGGCGGCAAAGGAAGAAATAACGTTCAATTCCACATTGAACACCAGAAACATAACATTTCAGCTGTTCAGGTGAAGAATAATTTGCTTCTTTTCTCTATCTTTGAGCATGGAATTAACTCTTACGTGTTCCAAGGATACTTTTCTGCTGCTCCTGCAACGGACGTACTGTAGCCATGAGATTGGACTTCCTCAAGACCTCTAGATACAGTACTTTTAGGACAGACTTTTGTTTCTATACATTATATAAACATTGTTAAACAAAATACAGGCTGACAGATGTAGTTCTGGTGGCTTCAATGTCTGAACCCCATGAATGTCCTCACAGGCCTCTCATCCATATATTGACAAGGCCCAATTCTTGTGGAGCCTGTGACATAGGATTTGATCATACAGTATGGCTACAGGTGTTGAGGAAGTCAGCATTTGATGCTTTCTAAATTCACCCAAAGTGATATTAACAGCACAGTTTGTATCATGGTTGTGTTGTCCTGAAAAGCTATATTGCATGCCATTATAGATGTTCTTCAATGGCATCCACTCTCTGAAAGTGTCAGATGTTGCTTTTCCTGGATCTTGGAGTAGTAAAGCTATTGGTAGCAGATATTGAAAGAGGATATTAGTATTTCAAAAACATTTAAAACTGCATTAACCAAACTATGTTCTAAAGGACAGTAGCTGATAAAAAAGAAGGTAGGGCCAGTGATAAGGATTATTATGGGACATTTCCTTAGGGTAGCCACTTGCTTCTTCCTCTTCTCTTTACATAAAATAAGAAAGTATTTTAATGATTATGTAGTTTTGTATTCTAGTCTCATTGGAATAATGTACATTTTTCATTCTTCTTCTGATATATGTCTATTTGTTTTTATTTTATTAACACTCATTCTGTTTTCATTTACTGTTTTATAATCCACTGTAATGGAATCCCAAAACTACAGTATATACTGTATCTGGCAGTTCTAGCTTTAAAAGAAGACAGCATTTGGTTAATGAAGAGTCCTTTATATTGTGGAGGTGTCCCCACATCATCTGTTTGTCAGGAATTTCTCTCTTTATGGAAACAATTTCTCACATCTTGTCCCCACATTAATAGTAATATGTGCCCCACCCACACACACTCCCACATAAAACAACACAGCAAGTAACAAGCAAGGTCAGCTGAAGCAGCAATCTAATAGCCTCCATTTTCTCATGGAGCTGTTCTTTTCTTTCAAGTGCTCTTCACAGCTGTGCTGAGAGCACAACAGTTATGGTAAAAACATCAAAATAAATGAGAAAGAGAGCTCAGAGTACATATCCCTTGAGGAATATATATATTCACTACACCTTCAACACAAAGGTGTAATCCACTGCAACCTCACTTCCTAATTGAGGGCCTGTCCTAGAAGCAGGTTTTTATTCTACCTGAGCTCTCAGTTAACTAATGGATATATTTATTGTCTAACTTGTACTAATTGACCAGGTTTGTTCAATTCTAGAGATGTAAAGATGCCTATAAATACAGCTGGATTACTGCCTTCCAGGACTGAAGTTATTAAATGTTGTCCTGGATGTTTACAGAGTGATACAGTCCATCAGGTATAGTTAATCTGATTTATAGGCACAACCCTGACTCAACCTGTGCAAGCTCTTACAATGTGAAACTCAAGTTTGATGGGTTGAGCAAGGCAAAATTATGATGTCCACCTGGAAGGGACAGTGTACTCATGGCTTGGAACAGTATTCGGTGAGAAGACAGAATAGATCCTTGAGTTAAAATTTAATGCATTCATGCTTAGCGTCCCTTCTTTATCTTAATACAAGTGCATTCTAAATGGTCCTATACATACTGTTTTGTATGTGTATGTGTACACAATGTAAATGGTTTCTGACTACATTTACAATAGGCCAACTCATTAAAATGAAACCCTATGCATTTGTTAAATCTAATTTGAAGAGCGAGTGTAAAAATGTTTATTAACCACTCTGCTTCAAGGAGATGGTAGATTTCCGGAGTGTTGCCACAGACATTGTTTGGGGCCTCCATTGGAGCTGTTGGACCATACTGCAGTTCCCATTTATCAGAAAATTGGAGGGAGGTACCACTGAGGTTAATAGGGGTGGATATAGGGGTTTTGAGTGGGGGGAGACTGTTATTTAGATTTTTAATAAAATGTTCACATTGAAAATTCACACTGCCAATTAGAATTTGAATTTAACTGCATAGGAAACATTTGTGCCATTCAACAAAGAATATTGAAAGACCTTTGAATTCTGCTTGCACATATTGTAAATATGATTATTGTAGTACAGAATTACTCACCAGTCTCTTTGACATGGGTGTCTTGTCATCTCCGGGAAGGTGCTGCTCCAGAGCCAGAACAATGCAGTTTGCTATGATGGTAGCCAGGATCATGTATTCAAAAGGAGTGCAGACAGGTTAAGGAAACAAACTTCTTGAAAGTAAATAAAAACAACAGAATGTTTAATATAACCAACAATTAAACATTTGAATAAAACGTCTTGCAACTGTGTACATTTTTTTGTTTAAAAAAAGACACAGAATTTTAAGGTGACTAGTGACCAGAAAAGAAATGTGACATTCTTTTCCCCTCTGTCAAATATACAGATATTAAAGATGAAATAGCATTCTATGTTTGCACTATAAATTGATGAATAGCATAAATTAAATGAGAATTAATGATCATTAATATATATATATATTACACCACATATAACATTTCTCATTAAGAAGTATTATTCCTAGATGACTTTAGTTTAATAAATGTCCAGGTGCTTTACAACATGATAATAGACCATGAAATCTAAATGAAACAGAAGAGAATAACTTCAGGATTTTAGCAGCAACCACAACAAGCCTGTCACTGTAATGTATCCAGAAAATCTGGAAAGTACGTCAAAGCAAAGTTCAGATGATTTCTATTCTAGCAACAGTAGTTTTTTTATTTTAATACAGCTGTTCAGGCATATACTGTAGCTTCATCAGTTTATACACAATGTGTGAATAAATGTAGAGCCCGAAGTTTCAAGAAATGTAACTAAAAAGTTGCGCAATTTTATTCACCTGCTTTAATGAAAGTCTGACAAGTAGGAATGTGAGGAATGAAATGCAGAAGAGCACAAGTGCTTAATTACATCAACTTTACCCAAGATTTAAAGAGCAACGTCAAATATTTGCAATGCAATATGTCATTTTATAATTGTTTGCAGTGCCAAGGGTTTATTACTTCGGTAGCTCCAGTCTAACCTACCACATCTACTGTATTAATATCCTGCCAAGATGAAAAGAGTAAATAAGGTCTAATTTAATAAGAATTTACAGAAGTAATTTCTGTTCTAGAGTACCATTTCTGAGCTAAATGGTTAGACTATATACTAATCACCAAGGGATGTGGGCTCAGAATTTACTACTGAATGAGCTGTACTGTACTTCTCCATTATCAGTTGTACCTACAGTATAATGCAAAGCTGATGCAAAAAGGTTGGCCACAGCGGTTGAAATGGATTCAGTTTCTGTAGACTAATAAAAAAAAACATTTTAAGATTAAAAATCATACCTTCACTGATTCAATTATTCTGCCTGTAAAATGTAAGAATGACATCCAAATAGGAACCATGCCAATTCATCTGGGCACATCATAATAATGGAATCCGTGTGAAGCATAGGATCAAAAGCAACAGCAGCATTCTGTACACCTCTCATTGGGTCGTATAAATGTGAGAGAAGAAGGGAGAGGGGCTTTAATTCGATGTGGGGTGCAGAAAAAGCTGAAGATTTAGTTAAGCTCTAACATAAAGGCGGCAACATCAAAAATGTACAGTTTCCAAAGTGTAGCATCCCACTCTTTAATACTTATATACTTATGTTAATACCCCTTATAAAAAAGCTTCCTATTTATAGGATACAAGAACAAGTTTCTTGCTTTTTTCCAGCGTACAAATCCTGCTTATCCATGCCTTGGCTGCCTTACAGTGCTCTTACCACCTCCAGATCTAGCAGTACAAAGCAACAGATCCTTCTACAGCCCCAGAGCAAGAATGGGACATGAAAAGGTCTTTGCCACAATGTGAGACTGCAGGAGATGGGCTGCCTCCTCTGCGTTTCTTCAATGCATGATGGGACCAAGGAGAGTGGGAGGAAATAGCATGTAACACAAACAAAGGCTTCTCTCTGGGTTTCAGGATCTTCCCAGAGTTCCCGAAGGTTGCAGGTTCGACTCTAGCCTCAAGACAGCCAGGGAATTAGCTATGCACTCTTTGCCAGGGTGCGTGGGCATGCCATTTCTTCAGATACGTAAAATAAATAATAAACGAATAAACGTCTCCTTTGCCAACGGGGATACATCAGAGCAAACATTGCTGCCAACCAGCAGGAACAGCAGAAGGGCCACAGAGACACCCACACTGTCCTTTGGGGAAAAAGAGATGATACATTCATTTAATAATGCTTGTATTTTCAAACCTGGATTAATGTTATCTGAACAGCCAAAAAAATAAAATAAAAATGAGGCACGGCTTTATGTATCGAACAAAACAGACCGATTACTAGCTAGGAGAGATTTAATTCTGAGTTGTTTATTTACCATGGCAGTGTTTCAGCACAGTCAGTTACCTCAGCCAGTTAGGTTTATTGTCAATCCTCAGTGTGAATACTGTCTAACTGAACTGCGTGCTGATCAGAGTTGGGCCTCCTGTCTTCAAAGTCATAAAGCTGTCTATTTTTACAACAAAGGGAAACAGTTTGACAGTTTGTGCACACACATTCCTGAAATACCTAGTGAAATCTGAAAGCAGACGCCATGTTGATGTTATTTGCCTCTTCTCACTAAAAATGCAAAAATAAACTGACATCTACAGTACCTCAGGCAAGATAAACAAAATATCATTTATTACTTGAAAAATAAGTCTTTTTAGGAATATTTTTCATTCTACAGTATATGAATATATAAAGATAAGGCTTGTCCCATTTTTCTGTATATTATTAAGTAATCAAGTACTAAATATAGTAAGTAAAGTACTAAATTAATATTCTGATAATTCCGATTATTCATTAGTTTTAAACAGTTATTTTGTACAGTATTTCATTCAAAATCCTTATACAACAGGAGGAATAAATGAGATCATGGGTGTTCATACTTTCTGTTTGTAGCAATTATATCAGGGAAAACCTGCAGAAAACTTCCAATGTTGCTTCTAAACCTTCACAACTTTGAGAAGAAAAAAAACTTTTCCATAAACAATGATACAAATATGGAGGCTGATGAAAGGGACACACAGAACTAATGAGTGGAGGACAATTAAGGCAAACAAGAAGACAAAATCCCTTTATTTATCCTTAACTAACATGCACTGCAACACAAGATACTGTATACTCTAAGATATTGTTCAACTAAAACAAATACAATTCTTTGATAATTTTAGCACCAGTCAGTCTCCATTTTCTTTTTTACTTTTTTTAGCCATTCACATGGCTTTCCAGCAGACCTTCTGCTCCAGTCTGCCAACCTGTCAGTCCTATTCATCTTTTGACAGGAAGCAAGTTTCACAATGCCTTAAAACACAGGTTCCTAGTCCTGGTCCTGGGGGCTCACACACCTGCTGGCTTGTGCTCCAGCCCAGCTCTCAGATACATAACTAAACACCTACTAATAGGATAAACACAACGGAACACTCAATCTGAAATGGTTGACTGTTTTTCTGCTCTTACGCATGATGGTGGCTGCCATCTAATTCTAAAATCCAAAACACTTGTGTAGAAAAATAACTTATACAAGTACAGTACAGTATATAGTCCAATCAAGCAATTCTCTCATTCAATCAAGGCTTCAATTGGGTAATTAAGCTCAGCAGATATGAGTTTGTTGAGAGCCAGGGCTGGGAATTCTAGTTCTAACCAAACTACTCGCACATCTCTCATTGATATCAATGCAAGTCTGCAGCCACCTGGCAAGTCAAGCTGCTTATAAAGAAGTCAGGAAGGACTGGGCAATTTACCCTACTCAAGCAAAACTGCCAGATGTACACCTGATCTAAGGAAATCCCACTCCATTGACTAGTGATATTACCCAGGCTCAAAGTGGTGATGTATGGGCATTAAACGTTTAATGCAAACCACTGCTGAGTGGTTGGGAGCCCACATTCTCCTGTTTCTAAAAGTACAGATCTACATGAAGTATAATTGTTTTTTACTTTTCTTTTGTTTTTAACTGTAATGGAATTCAGAACATTTCCTCCTGCATATATTTTTATTACATGTTCTATTTTTGACAACACAACGTGGATAACCTTTTCAATGACGCAGAAAATGACTTTACCTGCCGCTCTGGTAATGGAAAAAAAAATCTGATCCTCAAACAAAAAACATTAATTACACCCATCCATCCTTACATACAGTATATTGTATGAACACCTGGTTAATGCATCTCCACTATGAAGAAGTGTTCAATTTAATACCTGCTTTTTGTAGTTACAAAGAGATTTTCTCTACAACAAAGGTGTGTCTTTCATAGCTGAATAGAAATGGTAATCCTCGCTTTACAACAATTCATCAATGTATCTACATTTTTTACAATTTCCACACATTGTCTTAAGTCTATTTATCTTGTTAACTGTCTGTAATAAAGCATTATTATTGTAATCATAAACAAGCAATTAGTGTTCTTACTGTACTTTGAGGACTCAGTGCTCTGTTTAAGTAAAATACCCATCCCTCCGTTTATGAATACATGGTTAACGAATTTTCACTTATCAAAGAACACATGTTATATGTTTTTTGTATTTACAATTAGATTTTCACTACGATGAATCCTTTGTAGCTGAACAGAAGATGCCATCCTCATAGCATGATCTCCCACAACATAAGTCCTCAGTTTGCCCACGATCTTAGAATTTTTACATATTTTATCTTGCCTATTCATCTTGTTAACTATTCTTCTACCGTAAACAGGGTAATGATTATAAGCAATAGTGGTCTTACTTTGATGATACAGGGATTCGTTAGGTTAAAATCAAGTAACCTGGGTGATTTTCTAGACCTTGGACATGAATTGGAAGGTTTAACATGCAAAATAATGGACATTTTATTTGGGGATTATGAATTTTCACTTTGTGAAGTTTTCAAGGAATGAGTTATGTTAATGTACATTAAATCAAGGGATGTGTGTAGGTGAATTCAAGTCTTCTGAAAAAAGATTCTGTCACAATTAATTTGACTTTTTCAATTTTATATAAAAAACTGGACAAGATGTGCTCTTTAAGGGAAATATTTCCATGGAATGGGAAAAGGATTACTTTAAACTTCATAATTAACATTTTTTCAATGTGCTAATGACAGTTTACCACGTATCACTATTTCTACTTATGACACAAAATAAGGTAAATCAGACTAAATTGCTGGAATACACTTTTC